CGCGCACGCAACCCTTTTGCCTCGAGCACAAACCCCTCTCGGCACCCGCCGCGTCCAGCGCTTGGAGATAGACTAAACCGGGCTCCTTCGAGCTGCGCGCTAAGTTCACCTCGGCACACGATTCGACCCCCTTCGGACGCGCTCGACGGTATTCGGTGCCGGCCGGCCACCCTCGGAAACACGCTCGGCGACGTTCTCTTCGCCCGCGTGAAGCTGCGGCCCATGTACCAACGACAAACGTATACCTCGACACGAAAAGACACGGATATAGGGAGAAATTGCACACGTAACCCTAATGCCCGTATCACGCTGCAATTTCACCGGCTACTCGGTAAAAATGAAATATGAAGTCAAGGATTTATTCTAGTATCAAGCGCGACATAATAACGCCTCTATAGTTGCCCAAATATTTTTCTCATTTTTTTATTAGAATAATCATAAATAAAAGAAGGAAAAGTTTATTTTATAATATATTAATTGTAATTTCTTAGAAATATATTTTTTTTAAATATATGCATCTTTCTAAACAAGAAATTAATTTTACATCAGTCAATGTCCGATCGCATATCGACACGTTTCACTGAAATCTATTTCTCATTTTTTATTCGTATAATAATAAATATAAGGAGGAAAAGTTTATTATTTTATAGTATATTGAATGTAATTTCTTATAAAATATATATTTTTTTAAATATATGCATCTTTCTAAACAAAAAACTAGCTATATGTTACTAGATGTTCGATCGCACATTGACACGTTTCACTGAAATCTATTTCTCATTTTTTATTCGAATAATAGTGAATAGAAGAAGGAAAGGTTTATTATTTTATAGTATATTGAATGTACTTTCTTATAAAATATATGCATCTTTCTAAACAAAAAACTAGCTATACGTTACTAGATGTTCGATCACACATCAGGACGTTTCACTGAAATCTATTTCTCATTTTTTATCCGAATAATAATAAATAGAAGAAAGAAAAGTTTATTATTTTAAATTCCTAGTAAACATATTTTTTTAAAAATGCATGCATCTTTCTAAGCAAGAAATAGACTTTACGTTAGTCAATGTCCGATCACACATCGACATGTTTCACTAAAATCTTTTTTAAATTTTCTATTGGAATAGTAATAAATCGAACAAGCAAAAATTTATTATTTTATAATATATTGATTGTAATTTCTTATAAAATATATTTTTTTAAATATATGCATCTTTCTAAACAAAAAAACTAGCTATACGTTACTAGATGTTCGATCGCACATCGACACGTTTTACTGAAATCTATTTCTCGATTTCTATTGGAATAATAATAAATAGAAGAAAGAAAAGTTTATTGTTTTAAATTCCTAGTAAATATTTGTTTTAAAATGCATGCATCTTTCTAAGCAAGAAATAAACTTTATGTTAGTCGATGTCTGATCACACATCGGGACGTATCACTGAAATCTATTTCTCATTTTTTATTCGAATAATAGTGAATAGAAGAAAAAAAGGTTTATTTTATAGTATATTGAATGTAATTTCTTATAAAATATATTTTTTTTTAAATATATGCATCTTTCTAAACAAAAAACTAGCTATACGTTACTAGATGTTCGATTACATATCGGCATGTTTCACTAAAATCTTTTTTTAATTTTTTATTGGAATAAATAGAAAAAGGAAAAATTTATTATTTTAAATTCCTAGTAAATATATTTGTTTGAAAATGCATGCATCTTTTTAAGCAAGAAATACACTTTATATTAGTCGATGTCTGATCACACATCGGGACGTATCACTGAAATCTATTTTCATTTTTTATTCGAATAATAATAAATAGAAGGAGGAAAAGTTTATTATTTTATAGTATATTGAATGTAATTTCTTATAAAATATATATTTTTTTAATATATGCATCTTTCTAAACAAAAAACTAGCTATACGTTACTAGATGTCCGATCACATATCGGCATGTTTCACTAAAATCTTTTTTAATTTTTTATTGGAATAGTAATAAATAGAAAAAGGAAAAATTTATTATTTTATAATGTATTGATTGTAATTTCTTATAAAATATATTTTTTTTAATTATGCATCTTTTTAAAGAAGATATAACGTTACTAAATGTGATGATCACACATCGTCATGTTTCACTAAAATTTTAGCCAAGTTTTTTTTCATTTTTATTGATATAATAATAAATAGGAAAAAACAAAATACTTACTTTACACTAAATTAATTGCAATTTCTTAATATTATTTTAAAAAAATGTATGCATATTTTAAACAAGAAATAAACTTTATGTTGGTCGATGTTGATCGCACATTATCACGTTTCACTGAAATTTTTATCTCATTTTTTATTAAATAATAATAAATAAAGGAATGAATAATTTATTTTATACTGTATTGATTGTAATTTCTTATAAATAATTTTTGTTTTAAATATGTGCATCTTTTTAAACAAAAAATGAACTTTACGTTAGTCGATGTCTGATCGCACATCGTCATGTTTCACTGTATTAGTATAATAATAGAGGAAGGAAACATTTCTTGCTTCATAATATATTAATTGTAATTTCTTATAAATACATTAAAAATATATATATTAAAAAATGTGTGCATCTTTTTAAACAAGAAATGAACGTTACGTTACTCGATGTCTGATCGCACATCGGCGCGTTTCACTGAAATCATGGCTGACCAAGCAGCGTTACAATATCACTGAAACTACCTTTGACCTATATACCTATAATTTTAGCGAAATGAAAAATACACTTAAAAAACACGAGTAAAACCTGAATTCCTAGAATAATTATATACTCTCCCTAAAAACATAATAATCCGATTATTTATTCCAAAAATGCACACTTTCGAAATTTAAATCTACCAATCCTCTATTTTATCGCATCGCTATAGAAATAGTTGGCGAATACATTCGATGATCGAGCAAATAACATTACACGCGAAAAAAAATGCACACAATCCCGAGGGATATTAGGAAAGACGCATCGAGAAAGACGAGTATATAGCGATGTACAGTTACCTGATTGATTCAGTTTAAGCTGCCTCTTGCACGCGAGACTATCATCACGGGCCTCCGTATACCTCTTTCCATCGAGCTCACCTCCCATGGCCCCTTGTGTTCTCTCCTTCCGCCGCTTGTGCGAGGTTGCGTTCCACAGCGGCAGCCTTCAGTGCGTACACCGAGCCCACATGACCGAGTGGTGGCGCGGAGGCGGAGAACGGGGTAACCGACCGCCATCAACCACCGACCTCAAAGAGCGAGAGGCCCCCGCGTAACCTTACGCCCCCCCCCCCCCCCCGCCCCCCTCGTCTACTCTCTTCCCTCTTTCTTCCCCTACCGCGACTGACGCTCCGCTACCGCCGCCGCCAGGCACAAATTAAATATCCGTGCGGCGCACGTAGCCGTTTACCCTTACTACTCTCGCGCGGTGTCGGCTGCTCTGTTTTTCATGCGTCGTTGGACCGAATTTCTCTTTTGATGCTTCTAACGGCTACTAATTTAAATCACCTCGATTTGCGCGCTTCTCATTTTTTCCTTTTCCGTTCTATCTCTATTTCTCTCTTCTTTTACTTCGTTTTCCTTCTCTCTATCTCTCTTTCTATTCGAGTTCGCACGAAAGATCAAGTGTGTTATTGGCAGGAGATTGAACCGTTTCGAAGCGAGTCAGAAGGAAAAGAAGCGAGATAGTCTCTTCATTTATGATGCAACTGGTTTTTTTTTGTACGGAGGAAACGCAGGAAACACCTACGGGAACGCTTTGAAATGCGGAATGAAGAGTAGCGCGGAACGATCAATTTCAATCTTTGTCGCAAAATGAGAAGCTTTTCAAGTTTAGCGTTTTTCCGATTGTAATTGTACCTAGTTCAATACTCGCAGCTATTATAAAATATTGACACAAAATACATATAAAATAAAAGTTTCAAGAGCGAGAGGGAGAGAGAGAGAGAGAGAGAGACGCACACATTATACACACATATATACACACATTACATATATTTACATATTGAATTAGAATATAATAAAATTGATATATGTATATATGTATATCAAATTCAATTAATATAAATTTAGACAGTAGATAAAAAATATATATGCGGAAAATTTTAATCTGACAAAAAAGAGCGCGTTTAAAATTATTACATCTCTTCTCATGTAATATTAACAATAAATCACAATTAATTAAATAAATTATAGTTCCAAGTAGCCTTATATAAGATATCCGCTTTTATATTTTATTTATCATTTAAAGAAGCTTTAAAAAATAAAATAAGAATTTAGGAAGGATAATTTACCTCGAAATGAGTCTGGCGAAGTGTAATGTGTATATGCGTGTTGTATGTACGTTGATGTACAAATAAAGATTCAAATAAGAATAGCACGAGAAAATGAATTCTCGCGACATCTGGTGAGGTTTAGCATAACTACAAAGTCAATTTCCGATTGCTCTTTCACACGAGTAGTTATCTACATTTTCCTTATTATCAACGATTTTGCAATCTAGTTGTAAAAGTTCCTTTCAGATGGCGTTAGTGCCATAATTTTTTTGTTACATAAAAAATTATATATAACTTTTATGTATGTATATGTATATGCGTACATCTTTCATAATAAAAATATCTTTGCTGTCCAAATGTCAAACTTATCAAATCACCAGCCTGAAAATATAAGTTTTCATGACAGAGATAGAAATTATTATGTCATAGCAGCTTTGAAAATAATCTTCAAAAATTCTCTTATATATTACATTCAACTTGAACGTTTCCTCCAAAATGAAATATATCGCAGAATATAGTAGATTTATAAAAAATATATGTAATCTGTGAGATATTTCACGCGAATCTTCCTCATAAAAAATAATCCTCACGATCACGAGAGATTTATCCTGCTCCTTCTCTCTCTCTCTCTCTTTTTAATAAATAATTCCGCTCACGTAAGGCATATTTTTTAGACGTCTCTCTTGGCATATATATAAGCGAATGTGTCACGGTATCTTATCGCGCTTGTTGCGGTTCCTTGGAATCGGATTGTGGAATTTTAGATCAGAGATCTCCCGTTATCGCGCGCGCATTAATTAGGAAAACGTGCGCGCTACATTCGATTTTTGTCGGAAGAGAGGAAACCAAAAAGACCCGGGTGTACGGTACGGTGGGCACGTATATCGATCGTAATGTGAAAGTTCTTTTATGTGAGAGAATCTTAACTAAAGGCTACGGCGAATATCTCAAGGTCGGCCGGCGTTTCTGCTCATTGTACGCGAATCGCGAGAAAACGCGAGACAGTTGATCGCGGTCGACCGATAAATACACATAACGCGTGTTCTAGTCAATTATTCACAGCCGGTGATTTATTTATCGCTAATATGGGTGCGGGTCAGTGCAAAAGCTTCCGAAAAAACCCTCCTCCGATCAAAGAAATCCGTCGCAACAGGTGCGTATATATATCTTTCGCCGCAAAAACAAATTATGAAAAATCTAAGAAAAAATGTAAAGAGATAAAAAAAATATATATATATATATCATGCATCATCGCTTTGTTAGACTTTTCTTTGTCCAATAATTGCTTTCGATTAATTATTTAATGACGATTCTTGTGTTGGAAAATTCAATTCGATTCTAATCTTTTTTTTAGAAGTATAGTCTATAAAAGTCTTTTGTCTTGAATCTAATTTTTTTTAACTTTGAAATTAATTTTACCGCAGAAAAAAACATTATTAGGTCGGAATACTGTCGTACAGAATCATTGAGTTAACGATGGGAAATTAATGTGATACGGTGACTAGTATAGTATAGTTCGTGAAAAAAAAGCATTTGTTACTATATATGTAGTACGAGGACGCACGCTAGAATAGAATTGCATTGACAGTTTCCAGTGCATTGCGATGCAGTCCGTCAGGTCGCTTGCACTTAGAAGGAGGTGGACCGCCTTCTTGATGGACAAGCCGTTCTTACGTCATTTTCAGGGTAGGCCTTCGCAATATTTGGGCATACGAATCAAATCAAATAAACCTGGAATAAGACAATTTACTATTTATTAATCATATCACACATCAGGGATTATTTTGTAATAAATGACATCGGAAAAAGGTGCTTATAAAATATAACATTTATACTACTTTAAGAGGTTATAAAAATTGCGAGGATATCAAGAAAGAAGGAAATAATAAAGCATGAATTGCATATCATTTGTAGACAGATTTATATAACGAATCAATATTTGTTTCGTTCAAACGTCTATGACGTCAAGTAGAAAAATGACACAGCGAGTATATTTCGCAACAAAAGCAAAAGTGATTCATTTGATCGATTGTAAAATACACTCTCGTTTTCATATTACATTATTCATATGCTTCTTTATAATATACTATTTTGTAATAATTTCAATAAAATTTGCGGTAGGTATATATATAAAATTTACAAACTTGCTAAAATGATTCTAATAATAAAAATATACAAATTTTTAAATAAAACGAGGGCAATTATCTTTTATAACATAAATTAATTAAATCTATTTTGCATGTCCAGCTCACATAAATGTTGAAAACGAGATTCATATATGATTTTTTTTTGCGCGCAACATAGTTTGCGTATGTGTTACATTTGTATAGTGTCACGTGCACGAAATGTCATTATATGTACATAGTATAATAACAGCAAATCACGTAAAGCACTATCTCCCACGTGCTATTAGTTTATTAGATCATTTCGTTATGTCTTGAAGAAACTCTCGATCAAATGATGTCACGAAATTGTTATTAAATCATCCAACTGATAACCTATCAGAAAGTGCAACTTTCCACGTATGAGATAATAGTAACTGGGAAATTCCCATTGGCTTCTATATTTGTCACATTTGATTGCATTTGTATGCTACGCTATATAGTTGATGCAAGTTATTTATTATATACATTGTTGATAAAATTTCTTATTTTGACGTGGAGATATTCGGTCGCCCGATTGATTAAAGGTAGTGTTTTTGTTGTGCTTTTAAATGATTTACTGTGAATATTCTATTGTTTTGAGAATGTTATGGAGACATAAAAATTTGAATTAGTTTCCTGCCAGATGTAGAATTATTAAAAAGGATTATTTCAAAATTGGTCTTACACATTTACTTTTTTGTATTATAATATTTCATATGTATAAATAAATTATTATTTAGAATTTTAAAGATTAATATTTTATTAGAAAATATTTGATTATGTTAAATAAAAGCAAAGAGAAAGAAAATTATAATGCGCATAATAAAATAGGAAATATTGTACAGAAACATAATATATTATCATGTTGCTGCACTTGTGAGTCACCTGTTTTACTCTGCAGCTGTAATAAAATATCTAAAATAAACTAAATTATTCTCACGTGTCAGGTTCCCAAGAACAGCATGACTATATTGAAGATGTGGTGTGCAAGAAGGAGGATATCAACGAAAATGAAATGAAATTACTACCACTTGGGGATAGCGAAGGAAAAATTTTGTTAATAAAACAAAAAGGAGAATTACATGCAATTGGTACCAAATGTACACATTATGGAGCTCTGTTACATACCGGTGCATTAGGAGAAGGAAGAGTGAGATGTCCATGGCATGGGGCTTGCTTTAATATTAAAACTGGAGATATTGAAGATTATCCAGGCTTGGATTCTTTACCATGTTACAAGGTATTCGAGTGCTTCTTAAATTTTTAAAAATTCTGTGTTCCATATTTCTGCATATCTATCTATTTCTTTATGTTTACAGGTTCGCATAGACGAAGCTGGTCTTGTACATGTAAAGGCTAAACGTAAAGATCTGGACCTTAATAGACGTGTGAAAGATATGTCCGCATGCGATCCTGAAAATATAAAAACAGTTGTAATAGTTGGTGGAGGACCAGCAGGTGCAACTTGTGCAGAAAGTCTACGACAAGAAGGTTTTACAGGACGCATTGTTATGATATGCAGAGAGAATGTTGTACCCTATGATCGAATAAAAGTATCCAAAATATTAGATTTTGATGTTCAAAAGGCAGCATTACGGCCTCCAATGTTTTATGATGAACACAAAATAGAAACAAAACTTGGCGTAGAAGCTATAGGTATGTTATAAGTAAAAATAAGCACTAGTTAATACTTGTTCAGTTAATAATTATTATATATCCTTCATATTTCATTATATATATAATATTATTACTTTATTTTTCCTAGGCCTGGATACAACTCAAAATATTGTTAAACTGAGTAACAATGAGGACTTAAAGTATAATCATCTATTCATATGCACAGGCAGTAAACCAAGAATGTTAAATGCACCAGGAAGTAATTTGTCAAATATTTTTGTGCTGCGAGATTATACTGATTCACAAAGCGTATATTCACAGCTGTCTCCCGAAAAAAACAGTAGTTGTGTTGGGATTGGGTTTCATTGGTATGGAAGCGGCAGCTTATTGTATCAATAAATGCGCATCTGTTACAGTAATAGGGCGCGATACTGTGCCTCTCAGAGCGATATTCGGTGCGGACATTGGTGATAGAATTAAAAAGAGCACGAAGCAAAAGGTACAGAGTATGCAAATATGTTACACGTAACATTATCTTTTATACTAACTTATATATAATAATAATCAATATTAAAACAGGGGTAAAGTTTATCTTCCAAAACAATATCAAGCAATTTATTCCAAAGGAAGATGAAGAGAATGTTGTGGCTAAAATCGAACTTACAGACGGTCAGATTTTACCAGCAGATATAGTTATTGTTGGAATAGGATCTACTTTTACACAGATTGGCTGAAAGAATCATTTGTTAAAATAAGGAATGATGGCACTGTAATAGTAAATAAGGTATTACTTTCAAATAATTGATATTACTTTATCTATTCACATTTATGTAATTAAGATGTATGTATATTACAGCATCTACAAACAAATATAGAAAATGTATATGCTGGAGGCGATATAGCTTATGCACCGATATATGGCTCTGATGACACATTGGCTGCAATAGGTCATTACTCTTTAGCCCATTATCATGGCAAAGTTGCAGCTCAGAACATATGTGGTAAAGAAACTCCTTTGAAAACGGTACCATACTTTGGACCAATTTACTAGGCAAAAATTATAGATATGCAGGTAATTTTTGTAATATATTTTCATATTATAAATTTAAATGAAAGTATAATAATTATTAACCAACTAATTAGTAATTGTTAGCAAGCATTAGTAGTCGAATTCAAAACTTTTATTTTATTTTCAGGTCATGGAAAACCTACTAACATAAAAATTCATGGTTCATTGGATAAACTGGAATTCTTTGCTTATTATCTTAAAGATGGCAAAGTAATAGGAATGAGCAGTGTTAATGCTGATCCTGTTGTGTCAGATTTTGCAAATATACTTTATGAAGAAAAGACATTAACAGAAGAGGAAATTAATACCGATCCATTTGGTTGGATGAGAAATAAGCCAAAGGATGTGTTAACGCGATTTCAAGATACCTTTTTAGTAGAAGTAAAGGCTTGAATTGTGTTTTGTATAAATAATATAATTCAGTTTTTTTTAAACAATGTCACAGTATTAATCTCAACTTTTTAATTATACATTATCAATGTATCTTATTAAGCATGTGTAATATATCTAATAATCCCTTTCCTATGTAATACTCTTTATGTAATATATTCAGCATATTGTATATCTATTATATATAATATAAAATCGTTGAAAACTATATTTTTGAGTTTGACATTTATTTTATAGATCTATAAAATTTACAAATTATATTAAAATTACATACATCTATGAGAAGCTTCTAGTCCCATTGTTCTGTAACTCTTAAATGAGCTAAACGTTCAGCGATAGTGATTGTTTTTTCAAATTCCTGTTTTCTACTTTCCTGAAATTTATCGAAAAACATCTTATCTTTCTCTATATGTTTCATATGACCGTGAGATTGCTCAATTGTAAGATAAGGATGCCGCAAAATTAACATATTTTGTTCTTCTCTTTCAAAGTCCTTTTTCATGTCCATTAAATCATGTATAGATGGTTTTTTAACTTTACGATACTTCCTGTAATAGAAAAAATGTACAAAAAACTATATTTATATCCATATAACAAGAAAATAATAATAGTAAAAATACATGACAAATGATTAATATAAAATAACTTATTAAATAAAACGTAAGATTGGTTTTTTGCACAAGCACTCACCCTCGAAATTTATATTGCAATTTAGGTTTAGCAAGATGCAATAGAACCAATCCAAGCCGCATCGTAAATCAAATATATATCTTTCGATAATCACGCTGCTTGTATGCACTTATTATTATTTTTTTTTTTAAGTTTCAATGTGCAGTTAACCATGTGCTTATCTAAGAGTAAGAAGAAACTTTAGTCTCTTAGGTGCTTATTCGTATTTTAAAGGTTATGTCACAGCCATAATATTAGATTAGGAGGTCACTACTGCGCGTGCGCCTGTTTTTCTATTAATAAAATAAATGTAAATTATGAATGATCTGTAAATACGATAATAAATTAAATTTTATGCTCCTATGAGGAAATATGTGAAAAAAATACACTTTTATATGCATTTCTCTTATTGATACAAAATAAATATGTGCATTTTATAAATATTGTAAAACAAATTTTTCTTGAATAAACGTTCTAGAAATATATTTTATAGATTTCAGAAATTAATATAAACGTACAAAATAATTAGTATTTGGACAATATAAAATTTAAATCGGATTTTAATTTGAATATCCAAATATATTATAAAAATATTCTAATAACTTTGATTTTTCGAGGGTAAAAACAAAACGGACGAAATTTCATTACAATTGTATTACGGCTAAAATGGACGAGATACAGATATTGCCCTGTTCTGCAGTATTAATAAGAATTAATTTTCCTACAATACAAATAGTATCTCATACAATATAAATAATATTTCAAGAACACAGTCGACTTTTTTTTACAGTAGAAGTTTCGTGACTCTTTTCGTGTACGACGTGAAACATCAACTTGCTCAATATTAAGTTATTGCATATTTAATTTTACTCGAGTAAAAATTAAATATTGCATATATTACTCACGCCTAGTGACATTTACGATATCTAAACCGTCCAGTTTGTGGCAACCTGTTAAATTAATTTCCAGTAGCAAATGCAACTGTCTCAAGGTTTAGTAAAAACTGAATATTTCTTTCACTAAAGATGTATAAGACTAGAATTATATTAAAGGAAAGAATTATGTGGAGTATTATTTTGACTATTAATTGGCATTGAAGAGTGGCCTCTCTGCGCTGGCGGTTGATAGATGGGTGTGTACTCCGTTGTTGATTTCGTTTTTTATTGTACCCCTTATTCCCTCCTACGGCACCATTTCCACCTCGTCGAAATTCCATAGGTGCTGCTGTCGCAATTTTTGATTGGATTATCTCTTTATTTAATATTTAATTGCATTACCTCTTTCGCGCTCGTGCGTGCGCGATACTTATATTTTATATTTATAAATGTACAGGACACAACTTTAGCGCACTATAAGAATTTAATATTTAAGAATGAACAATTAGTCACTCACCATTTATATGATTGTGACTTTGATCATAACGTGGTTGCCGATTGTTAGAACGTTGATCTTGTCGTCTTACATCCGAAACGTGATCTTGATACTATTGCAACAATTAAGAATAAGAATTATTATATATAAATATATATCAACACTGTTATCTCTATTTATTATATAACTTTATATTATTCAATTTTGCATACATCATCTGTTATGGGTATACAATCCACTTGAAGCACCTCCTCGTAGTTCTCAAATCCCTTGAATTGCACTACACAGGTTCTTTCGGAAACCCCAGTGACTTCAGCATTGTAATACTATAAATTTCGTATAAAAAAAATTAAACATTTCATCCTTCATATAAAACATGTAAAAAAACATGTAAAAAAATAATACATACCCTATTATCCTCCCAATATTTGGCCATACACTTGTCACCTATTCGCCATACCCATGCATTGTTGGAAACATTATGATTATAATTGTTTTCACTTCTTTGAAAGTTAGGATTTACGGACATTCTGTTTCCAACATTATTATTGGGTTGATATCTAAGTTGATTTTTAAAATTCTGTTCAGTTGTATTAGACGTGTAACCTACTTTCGAGGTTCCACTTTGTTGTGGTCGATTTTGTCTACCAAAAGAAGCGTCATATGGATGCCTATTTCTGGCTTCGGGATCGAAGTGATTGTAGTTTTTGTTACTACTGAGATTCTTCGCTTGTAACTCAACTTGACTTTTATTATAGCTTTCGTTACCACTATCATGGCATTTACACTTGTACTTGTGCGTGACTGAGCAAACATATTTCTATAATCATTCGGCTGAGATTTCTGATACGCTTCTTTGCCTCCATCATATTGATACTGATACTGAAATTCTTGATTACGTTGAAATCTTGGTGGTTTATTTTGCTGTGCATGAGTGGCACCATTATATTGCAGATACATGGAAGAATTGCTATTATTTGTTCGTTTGTTATTTTTATGTTCCTCCAAATGTCGTGGAGGAGGTTGATATCCGCGGCCACTTTTCTGAGTTCTGTTATAAAAAAAGGCAATATTAAAATAATCGATTAACTTTCATTATAATTAATTAATTTTCAATAAATGTTATAATTGCATCTTATAAGATAGTTACATACCGTCCACCTCTTCCACTTTGTGTATCATTGGCTCTTGAGTCAAGACGATCTTGATTAATTTCACTATTCTGCACATAGTTGTTTTGTGACAAATTTGCTGTTTCAACACTTTCAGGTTGCACAGGTAGTTTATCTTCGAGAAAATCAAATAAAGATATTTTTCCACTGCTGGGTTTACTCTCTTCAGCTTTTTTGTCACGCTTGCCTCGTGGCTCTCGTGGTTCTCGAGATTCCTTAACGCTATTACAATATAAAATTATAATTTGATAGTAATTGAATGACAAATGAGTAAAAAAAAAAATATTAATACTTACTTATGTTTACTATCGGTTTTTTGTAAGCTTTTAAGAGCTCTATCTACATTATTTCTGTTAATTCTTAAAGCATATTCTGCTTGCTCTATAGTAAATCCTCGATCTACAATTTTCTGTACACTATGATCTAATAGCTGTGGGAAAAATCATATATATCAATTTTTTTATATTTTTAGATATATTATTTTTTAATTCATAATTTTATTAGAAAATATAAAAACAAATCGAACCTGCTTATTTCCACCACCAAACACTTTCTTACTGCCTTGTTTGGCAGCTTCTGCTATTGCATCTTTACGCTGAGTCTCAAATTCTGTATTCTCTTTGCTACTTTTTTCTTTTCTACTAGTGCTTTAAAATTCTTATCCTGCTCAGAAACCTTTATAATCTTTTTACCAAATGGTATCCATGGTGGTGGTCCACCTTCTTCAGTCGATCTTACACGAGTATGTGAAGCTAATCTCTATAACAAAGCAGTTATGTATACTTCTTACATCCATTATAAATGTTATTAAGTTAATCAGTACATAATTGTGAAATAAAATCTATTAAATTTGAAATGTATATTTTTGTATATTTATTAAATAAAGTGTAACGTACCTTATTTAATTCCCATTTTTCCACTAAACTGGTTACTCTTCCCCCAAGTATATGAATTATTTGTGGGCTCAATAAAAGAAGCCCATGTGACACAGGAAAGGTTCCTGATTTTATCAATACCTTCGTACCAGGTGGTGTATTTAAACTAATAACATATAAAATAGATGATAAGAAATAATTGTAAAAAATAATATTATATATGAAAGGTAGTGCAAAATTGCATATACTTACTTTAAAGCTGATATATGTTCAATTTCTAAAGCTTGAAAATTATTTTTACCATCTGTCAACGATAATTTTAACATTCGTGGAGCAGCTTTTGATTCTTCATTTCCCTTGGGCGCAGAGATATTACGTATCTTTTGAATTTGTAACACAATATTGCCCTGATTAATATCTCCACTTCCACTACCGATCTCTCTTAAGTCAAGCTATAAATAATTTGTTTTTTTACACACATATATCTTTGAAATAATTAATATTATTCTAGAAGTTTACGAGTTTCTAAAATTTGATTGATGTGTAAATAGAATCATATAGTACATACATCTAGCAATCGTTTTATTATCCTCTGGGTATCAACTATGCTATCCGAATCAGTTGCCACATTATAACCGTGATCAGACAGGTACCTTATAATAAACAAAATTAGTTAAGTAATTAAAAATATAAATTATTCGTAATTCAGACAATTGTGAACTATTAAAAAAAAATCTTCAACAGGAAGAGAATAGATATTTTTCTTTAGCATAGAGAATCATCACAAGTACGAGTGCGTCCTTACTCACCATCCTAACGTCTCTAGATTCTCCATGTCTATACCGAACTTTCTCTTTGTTGAATAAAAGTTTGTCGCGTCTCATTGAATTCACGCACGGCTCTCGCAAAGCGTTATTACTATGCTATTCGTGACTTTGCGCAGCACGTTCTGTATGCGCTTGCACGTAACAAAAACATTTAACAGCTGACAATTATGTTAAACTGCGATTAATCCCAGCGTGGTCGTCTTGACGGCAACTCGGCCATCGATATTTCGATTCTGTCGAGGCTTTTATAGGCGCGGCCTATCACACGAAACAGCTGATAACAACTATTATAACCGTGAAGAAACCGCACCTATTCAATCTGAAAACACAGTCGTCTCCATCTTGCATACTTGGAACAGCGTGCCCGATTAGAACTCGATAGATATATCGATATCTCGATTATCGATATAGGTATCGATATTTAAATTTGCGAGAATTCAAAGAAAATTCCTCTGTGAATCATGATTTATTTTTATAATCATATCACGATTAATTGATAATTGAGATTTTTATTCCATTCATTTTTGAAAGTTATTTAAATTTCGGAATAAAATAATTATATAATAATGATGAGTCGATAATGAAATGCTTTCCCTCGGATTTTCTTTTGAATCTACATATACATGTATTTTATATAGTCTATAAAATATGTGATATAAATGTAATTATATATATTTCGTAATATAGAAATGTGATTAAAAATTGATTTTATTCTTTTTAATTTAATTTAACATATTATATGTATACACATTGCCAAATATACAGAATCATTATATAGTATAATAGCTTTTGATAAAAAAACCTTTCGCCTGGATAACGATTACTTCAATTAGAAGCAACGATTATTACTTGGGTGGAGCAGCCGTTGTACAAACGCTGAAATTACCGAATACGAGCTCTAACTTTGAAGACAGAGGTACGTGATATATGCGCGCTAAAAATGATCACGACCCACCCATATTGCGTTCTACATTATACATGATTGATAATTGATACAGTTTACATCCTGAAATTCTATTTGAATTACAAGCACTTTTGAAAATATAGAAACATGTATACAGAAATATATTTAATCATTAGAGAAAAATGAAAAATAGCAGATTGTAAATTCAACGAATATTCAGAATAATTTAGATCAGATTAAATTTACTTAGATAATTCTCTTATATATACATATAGTATTAAAGTAACCAATAATTATATACATAAACATATATATATAGAGAATTATGTATGATTTATTTTTGAAATTAGTGTTTTTTATATAAGAATTTTTAAATTAAATAAACTATTAAAATAAATGAGAAATAAAGTGGATTCTCTTCCGCAAATTCTTTTCCTCGAGGAGCACTTGACAGATTAAGAACTCCTCGTGAGGAACGTGACGAAAGGAACACTGCATTCCTTTTAGCGAGGAATGTAATCGATATCTCAGCGACAATTAACAAGGTAACGTTAAATCAATAGATCGCCTTCTTCGTAGAGCGAATGATTTGATCATCACATCTACATTCTCGCTCGAAAGTGGGATCCTGAGAAGTGGTCTCTCGTGTGTACCCCAATGTCTTACCTGTGGATATACCTGCGTCAACGTGGTCCCCACTTTTGTTGGTCCCCCCATCGCACGATTTTCCTCGTATTACAATAGCTCGTACTATAGCTAGTACCACGATGGTAGCGTGCAGCAACGTATAGTAAACGATAACTCGTTGAGGGAGACTCTACTATGGGAACAGAAGACAGAGAAAGAGAGAGGGAAAGAAAGAGAGAGAGGGAAACAGAAGGACAGAGACGGAAAGAGAGAGTGAGCGAGGCAGAAGTTCATTCGGTCTAACCATTTCAGTTTCACTTCAGCTTGGCCTGTAATCGCGCGTGTCCAACTCGGCGCCTCGTTTCAAATTATATCATCGGAAACGGAACGTTCGATAAATATCGTAAAGTTCGATTAAATTTTTTTTCGACACGAGACAACTAATTTATTTCGACATTTTCGTTTTGAAGCGCGGGAGGCTTTCCATTAGTGGGAGAAAGGAATTGTTTGCTTTTCTACGACCGCAGCTGGCTGGAGAAAGGAAGCCGGCCGGGGATCAACGTGAGTAAAAGATTGTTGAGCAATCGATCGGCGTCGGTCAGAGAACATTTAACCGCGATTCTCTCATGAAATCTATATTTATTTCAAAGACTCACCTCGATTAAAAGACTCGATCTAAAGACGCGAGAGGCGGCGACGCCGTGATTCATCCGCCAGCTTCCATATGTCGTTTAATATGTAATTCATTTCTTATCTGGGTTTGGTGTTGTCAGCAGATTTTTATCCTGTTGATTTTATCCTGTAAAAAAATTTCTAATTTAAATTTATACTTTTTGCAAAATTTGTGTTCTATGAATTTTTGATATTCGAAGTCAGATGGTGCAAATAAAATTACTAACGTATGCAAAATTGACTTATTCCAATTTCGAAAGAAGCTTCTCGTTTAATTCAGCAGGGATTGGCAAGTTTGTTGTAATATTGTGTTCTAAAAATGTGACTCAAGAAAGGAAGTGTAATTAGAGATCATCTAATTCATTGACGAAATAATACGAGAATTAACATACGCCCACGTTCGTCAAATAATATCAATCTGCAAAGTGGCGAGAATAACAACGGAAACTTTCTTATTTCACGTGTTAATTCAATTCGCGCTTAAATGAACTCAATGACTAATAAACGAGAAAGCTACTGTTTATGTGAGTAATATTTAATCTGTTACAAAGTTTCATCGTGTTTATGTTTTTATCAAATAATACATTTATTTGATGCGCATTAACTGCGTATCACTTTGACAAGAGGCCTTTGAATTATCGATGATAAATGCTATATAACTTAAGTTAATTAGACTTACTCATTGACTAATCATTCCAGAGTTTTAAACTTATGCAATGCGAAGAAAACACTTTTATATTTTTCACATAAACGGAAATGGTATATATTCAACATTATGTTTAAAATGTTCTATTTCAGAGACAGATAATTGTTTTCTATTAAAAAAGTATTTTGCACAAAAATGTTAGACATTAAATATAAAATTAATCTCTCTCTTTCAAACGTAATATTACGCGAACAAAATCAATAGGATATCTTGGGCCTTTCGTGAAATCAGATTTTGGAATCCCTCTTTTCTTGAATTTATATTAATGTCTCCAACCGCTAACGTCCGAGTATATTTACAAAGAGAAGTCGTGAAAAATACTTTTAGCCATAAAATAGTCATAAAACTGTTGCATTTACCACAAGTCTGTTTAATGTTCCAAACTTTGCAGATTTTACAGTTTCCTTTCTCATTATTATTTTAAATATGGAAGCGTTCGAGCATATCTTGAAATAATTACCAACGTGATGAGAAATTTTGCTCGCGCGCAATCTTTTTTTGTCATAAATAATTACGCGAGAGACAATTGCAATCACCGATCTCCGCGCGACTTCGAAGTGTCACGCAACGTCGTTCTACGTCGGTTGTTATTGTAGGCCGGTATTATCATCGATTCGTACCGAGACAAATATTATATTTATGAAAATTATCATAAATCTCACGCGAACGCTTGTAAATCATAACACTACGATACGCGACGACGCGACGCCTCAATTGAAACGTGCTCCGGTTGCGCGTGTCACGTGAGAAATTGTAAAAACGCGCAGTTCGACGATGATTACGAGAACGAAAATCAAGTGGGGAGGTGAGAAGATAGGATAGTATAGTATTACCACCTGAAAGAATAAAACCTGACGACCTCGGATCGAGATTAATTTTCGATTCATGGAAGGATCACTCTTCCAGCTCCTTTTTCTTCCTACGTTCTTCCTGTTATTGCAGACACTTTTTCTTTCGATGATATACACAATTGTCTCACAAACCAGATTGTCCACATGTTTGCACAAGTGTGCGCGTTTGTTTTTTATTGTACACAAAAGAGTTTCTCGTTTATTCATTCGCATCAAGCGGATAAATACGTGATTGTTCTCGCGCACGTACACTGATGTTAATCTCTCGCGCAGATGGAATAGCTGTGATTATCTCGTAAAATTAATAATAATATTAATAAGTATTAATAAACGTAACTACTCTGGAAAAATTTCTAAGTGAAAAGATTTTCATAAATGCACAATCTGTCTATATTTCTTGTACACGGAATTGAGAGTTGTAAAATGAGATCACTCTCGCACATGAATAACATGTGTGTTGTTTTCAAAAAAAGTCGAGTTATATCCGATGAGTGACGTAATAAAGCAAACTATACATGTCAGCATTCTCGAATGCTGACCGGCTTACGCTCTTTAATTATTGATATCAGGAAGACTTTATTCGAATAATTGTTCCTCTCTTGAGATTTGTATGATAAACATGAATCATTTTAATATTCCAGACAATAATCTAACATCTTTAATCATATGGAAAATTGCAAATTAATTCAGAAAATGCGTAGTTTTTTTTATACAAGGTACAGTATGAGTCATTTTCATCTACTTTAAATTCTTCCATTGATTTCTTGATTCAAAAGTGGTTTTGAAAAAAAAATTAACTTTGTAATTTATTAATATGATTTTTCTCTTCTAACTCTCTACTCTGTAAACGATGAGAAATTGTCGCTTCGCTCAATTAAGCTTAATAGGTCGAAGACGAAATGATTCAAGCGTTTCGTAAAATAAGACGAAGGAAGCCTAGTCGCGCGTGACGTCATTTGCGGGATGCGAGATTGCAAGTGCGAGCATCACCGTCGCGTCATTTTTACGCTTCGCTCTGGCCGTGGATTACTTAATGTGAAGGGAGAAGCCACTTTCTCTCTCGGTCTTGTAATATTTTTTCGAGCCGGTGCTTGTAGCCGGTGTATGACTGCGAGGTCGATATAAAACGCGTTACAAAATATGCAACCTTACGTGGGCGCGGTATGCTATATTGTAAGGAACGATAGTGATCAAGGTACACGTTACTCCGAGACGTTCTTCTCAGGACCGTATTGCACTATTAAACATACTCACGTACAGCGGCAGGTGAACACGTTCTCCAGAAATTCCCATTACGGCGAGCATTATTGGATGCACCTAAAAATCACGCACGCATCCTCGACTCGGCGATTGACGATATAAATAGACGATAATTGAGCGACACTATACATATATTACAGGATTTCGTTACGTGTTCGGTAAACAATAGAGACCAATTGAGCTATGTGCGCAGAATTTTCAAAACAGGAAGTTACCGATTCTGAGCCGTGAAAATTCATGTTGATTTTTTACACGAACACCTGTTTTTTTCTCCTCTTAAATTAAATATTTATACTGCACTAATGCGTATATAAAGTACTGCGCAGTGGAAATAGTACACGCACTTGATGAAATGAGATTTTAACATAGTTGAGTCTCTTGAATGTATGTATAATAAATTGAAATTGAAGTAAAACATGTCCTCTCAATTAAATAATTGATAAGAAGTTGGAAGTTTACTTAGCAAATAAAACGTATTAAAATATTTCCTTTTTGAATTCTTTTTTATCATCTTGCACACGCCGAAAATATGAGCTTTATTTAACCCCCATAAAATTTAGAAGATTCGACGTCTATGGATACGGTCAAGGCTATAGGATGTGGTGGATGGCCAAGGTAGGCTTCAAACTAGGCCAAAGTCTGATGTCACCAAGACGCGTGATATAATTAAAAGTGATATACGTGATTGTAATGAAAATTTTACCAATTACACTCTATCTTACTCCGCGACCTTTGAGTCACTTAGTATTATATTATATTTAATAGACGCGGCGAGAAATCAGAGAACAGAATAATATAATGAGTAAACCAAAGAAAACAATATATTTCATTTTGCGTTAATTTTAATAAATGAAGAGTATAAAATTCTTTTGAGTAAAAAATCATATTTAAAAATCTTATTTTTTTACATTTTTTACATAATTTTAAAGCAATTACGACGTCACTAATTAAAACGCCATTGATTGAAACGCGCCGGCAATAATATTTGCAAAATATCGAAGTCTTATCTTGTTAACATTCTAACATTTTATTGCAAATTTTATTATTTTGTTTATTGTTTTGTTAATAGATTAACATCGACAAGAGAAAATGGGTTACGGCACGGAAATGGATGGCTGTGGTCGCTTCGTAAAATATTCCTTATTCTTTACGAATCTCGTTATCTTCGTAAGTTTTAGTATTATATATGCTTTTGTCAAAGATATACTAGATATATAATTATTTATTCCAAGCTTATTATTAATTTGCATTCCAGATTGGCGGGATTATCGTAACAGGTTTAGGTGTGTGGGCCTTAATCGACAAAGTGCCATGGATGAGTGAACTCGTGGGAAACGATCTGTTAACGGGCTCAGTTTACGTTTTACTGGTTGGCGGAATCGTCGTGGCCTTAATTGCTTTCTTCGGATGCGCCGGTGCATCGTGCGAAGTCAAATGTATGCTCTTGACAGTGAGTATCAAGGATTTAGTTGCATATCATCATCGGGATAATTATTGATACCTATATCTCAATTTTGCCAGCATTACAACTCAACGCGACTAATTAAATTCTGTCTTTAAGCAAATTTAATTAAAAAAGTTTCACCCATACTCTCACTCATCATTTATTTATATATTCTCCAAACTTTAATCGTCACTATATCAATTAATGATGAACGTTCTTTTCTTTCAGTATTTCATAATTGTATTTTTGCTATTCGTGACCATGCTTATTGGCGGCGTGCTGGGATATGTTTTCCGCGAGAAATTGCTGAACACGGTTGACAGAGAGATGAAGAGTTCGCTCCGACTTTACGATCATCGCAGATCCATCCGCGATGCCTGGGACGCCACGCAATCGACGGTGAGTAATTTCGAAGGGCGATATTATTTATGGGCATCGCGTAAATTGGTCAAATTTAATAATAGCAAAGCTATAATTTAATTCACGGCAATTCTTTCGTAAATTTAGCTCCACTGTTGCGGCGTCAACAGCTGGAGGGACTGGGGAAACGTCGGCCTTAACGTGCCGGAGAGCTGCTGTCGAGAAGTTCAACCGGGCCAGGTAAAAGAAAATCAATTATCTCTCAACGCGGTCGCATCCCTGCTCGAATCGATTACGAAATAGTTACACAGTCGGCTGCGCGACCGCGCAAATAATGACGGTAATTTGCTACGCGCGACGCGTGCATCTGATAATACATCCATTCGCGGCACGTTTACATATACGGCAACTATTACGTCTTTTCTCCTCCGTTGCTTATAATGAGATATTCGCCGAGTCCTCTCAAAAAGTTGATATTCCAATAAGGAGAGTTTTATTTGCGCGCGTAATGGAACTTTCCTGACAGCACAACATATCCGAAAGACGTTTAGAGGATATTCAGAGGACATCAAACGTCCTCTGGATGTCTTTTGAATATGCGTGCTGTTAGGGTTTCCTCGGTAAGATTGGCGATGATTTTTCGAGTTTTCGCAGTTTAGATTAGCGATTATTCGTTGTAGATCGACGCGAATAATTATTCGTGGTTTAAGCAATGTCGTCGCGACTCTGAGTCGCGACCCGCCCGATTTTTCCCCCTCGAAAAGATCATCAATTTGGCCGCAATTACTTAATCGACCGCTCCGGTCTGTCCTCTCACGCTTTCACTCCTCCGATCTACTTTCTCGCGATGAACGACGACGAATCATGTTTCTCATCGCAGACCAATTCGCAGCGATTCAACTGCAACGCTGCCTCGGACTCGGTAAATCCCTCGAATGCTTACGTGGAGGGTTGCATCAATGGAACGCGAATCTACTTGCAGCAGCACGCCGCCGTTATGGGCGGCGCCGGTATTGCAGTCGCATGCCTCATGGTAAGGATGCAGTTTGCATTTTTATGAAACTCCCTTGTTAAATCTAAATGAAACCTGGGTGCTATAAAGTCGAAGCAGGAGCTCGAACAGATATTTCCTTTATGACGGACTTAATTTTACATTTCACAACCGAGACGAGATCTATTTTTAAAGATGGACAAGCGGACTTTTTTAATTTAATATTTTTTTTCTTTTAATTCGATATATATCTGTCAATATATTGAGCACACATATATAATGAGAGAATATAATTTCTACGTTTTTATATAACATTAAAAAAAAAAATAATTTAAAATTATTCCTCGAAAAGCCTCGTTTTTTGTTTATAAGATATTTTAAGCATAAGTCAACGTTCTATTTAAAGAGATATTCCCCTATATCTATTAATTTATTGCATAGCACATAAGATTGTTTAAATTCTCGATTTGTTTCAGTTCTTTGGAATGATATTCTCCTGCGCGCTCTTTAAAATGATCGAATGACAGCAGGAGAGATCTATAGTTTGAGGCTGTCTCCGTTCTTGTGACGAAAGACGGAGAGGTAGCGAATCTTCGAAATCCTGAGGAGACTTACGCAATTTTCCCAATCGACGAAATTACTCGTTGTTACAAGCGCACCTGATTATACCGTGATAATCAAAAAAACGAATCTCGATCTAATTGTACAGTTTTCTCGCTAATCTGTTACGTGCAATTAATGTTACACATCTCATGATTACCATCTTGCTCTTTCCATTTTAGATGTAATTTATATATATTTAAGATGTCTTTATTTAGTTGCATATATCATTAGTATGATAATGCATCATGTACCTTATATATGTGCCGTATAAATGCGTTTATTATACATTTATATAAACTTTTCAATAATTATTATCGATTTATATGTATATCGAAGGAAGCAACAAAAATCAATTTTTCAATGATCGTTCATATCTAAATCATACACGAACAGTTATATCGTGGCCTGTATTACATGGTTTACTTATTAACGAACAATATATTTAAATTCTGTTATAATGACGAAATATTGTATATGCTTATTATATATAATATACAAATATATTAAATATATATTAAATATATTAAATATAATATTATATAATATTAAATGTATACATATAAATATAATTTGCGTATCTCATATTATTGTTTTATTCCGACTCCTAGACGTATTCATTCAACTCGATCTCTAATCAGAATCTAAAGAAGGACATTTTCTTGTTACTGGTTGATTATTATCACTAGCAGATAATTGTAGAGATTTCACATTCGTTTACGAGCACAAGATATTATAACCATTCATTAGTCGTGTTATTTATTTAATCAACAACAGATAAACGACATAATGTTTATTGATTATAAAATTTTCTTCGTATAATTTAGCTTGTATATGACTTTAATTTAAACCTATATACAAAATTTTATAAAAAATTAAATGTTATATTTAAAATCGATAATTTTAATCCTCGAAAATCTTGGATTATGTTTCGCGAAGGTCTGGAATTAAACTGATAAAAATATAACACTATAAAAACACGAATTTTACTTCTTGAACTAAAAATCCGTATTTATGCCTCTATTTTCTATTCTATTTTCTATATTCTAATATTTTGTTTATTACATGAAAAAAAGTAAAAAAAAGTGTTTCTATTTTTGTTTCTACATCGCCTTCTTTGATCGTATATTCTTATAATAATGTAAAGTCGATTTTTTATTGTGAAAATGTCAAGTCACAGCTTGTACAGAAAAATGTATAGCAAGAAAAATATATATAGATTCGATCAAAATGGAAACGATATCGAAAGTTAAACCCAATTTTGTCGATACGAATATACGGGTTTCGCGAATTCATTCGTCTGCGAGTATATCAACTCTCATCGAGACCACCCTCGCGTTTATTCACTCTGGCCAGCACGCGTCAGCCCTATTTTATACGATACGCATGTCCTCGCGACGAGGCGTGACTGAGTACCATCCCGCGGAAGTCACATCGAATGCGTGCTCGCACGCAATTTTCCATCGCTGTCCCTATAGCTATCAGCACACATCACGTTCTTTCCCTTTCGGGCATACCCTTCCTCGCCGTATTTCGTTCACTCAGAGACCCGTCTGCGATAGATCGAAAAGAAGGTAAACACAGAGCGTTCTCGTTGAATTCATAAACGGAGTGGGTCCTGACTTTCCACGTTGGAATTGCGTTATTTCAAACGTCGCGGAGAGCTTTCACGATATTGATCGGAGGTCTATATAATTCTCCGTAATTAGTGCACAGCGTTCCGCATCGCATTTGTACAGTTGGTATACAGAGTACTTTCGGAATATATGTATACGTACTACGGGTTCCATGTGCCGTGCACACTTGTAACGATTCACCGGTGAATGAGTCCATATGCCGCGAGAGCCATCCTCGTGTAACGTTACAAAGGGACGCCGGACAATGACGAATGAATCGCTATACACGCTGCGCGAATAATGCCGCTCGTTCTGCGCTCCGATCACGATGAGCGCATCGTCCTTCCATGCTGCCTTCTTCCACTCGTTTCTTTGTCCAGATGCTCTTTCACCTGATCACTTTGTGCCGAGTGGATTATACGCTGTCAATATTTAATAAGTTCAATATTTCCATTGCCGCGCGCGGATCTCTTATTTTCTCTTAGAAATTCCAGCGAAATATCCTTCAATCTTCATTTTTGTATCCTACAATCAAATTGTAATATGAGCGAAACGTATTATAATCGCACAAATTATAGAATACATCTATATTTTTTTAAATTTTCTTTACAAAATTAAGCTTCATAATAAGAACCCGTGTTAAATTAATGAATGATCACGTATATGGCAGAAGAATTCACGCGGACTTTGCGGGTCTTTCAAGGATATTTCCTGAAACGTCTGCAATTTTTATTTCAACCGAAAGATATTAAAAAGCGGAAAAATTCGATTTCCTCGATTTTCGACGCTTTCCAATATCTCTACGGCTTCTTTCTCTTGCTTCCCTTTCTTTGGTACACTTTACCGCGGAACTACTCGGTCGAGGAACTTATTACCGGAAACAGGGGAACAGATCGGGAAGGGAGAAAATAGCTGAGATGCGCGATATCTGCGTATTGATTTCGTCCCGCGCTTTGAATCCGAATGCGCCGGAACTGGGGGAGTCGTCCAGGTGAAACCGAGAACTCCGAGTTCCACTTCATAACCAGGCACTTGGTCACAAATTAAATTCTGCTCTGCCGCCTGAAGAGAGAAGGCTATACGACGAACGGGTCAATGCAATTAGCTCGAGTATAACCGAACAATTATGCGAGTTAATGCATAATTGTAACTACGTTTACCGGCAAGCATCGACAAAGGACGATCGATATCCTGCGCGCAAAGTGCTTCAATGGAAGTCGCGCGAACCTATATTTAACAAAACATTTGTTGTGTAAATCTCTTTTCTCGAAAAATTCGCGCGAAAGTTATAGAACGACATGATTTGATTAGATAATGTATTTTGAGAACGCGTCCCTGGAAAAATCTGCACCTAGAGCCATTCTCATGGAACGTAAGAAAACTTGTCGTTTGTAGAACGTGACTGTGAATTAGCAAATATTTACATTTCGTCGTTCGCTGACGAAAATCGCGCGCCGGTATATATCAACTCGGATCCTCGTGCGAAAATGCATCCTGCGCGAACACAAAGGACGACGGCAAGAGGGAAAAAACCATAAAAAGCAAAGAATGAAATGGAAGTCCGACAACGAGAATGCCCGACAGTTGTACCGGATGGAAATGGAACTGCGGAAGCTTATATAAATGAGAAGTAAAAAAAATGGTAATTTTCAGTAGAGTTTATATACCGTCCGTGCCAATATTTTTCAAACCTTTATAAAAGAACAAAATTGCTATCGCTCGAGAGAAAGATTCACCCAGACAATAAAACGTTTGTAGAAAAAATAAATTCCAAGCCGCGCCTTCGCGATATATGAAACAACTACTGCTGAGAATGCATTAATTATTTTCTCTTGTATATAATACAACAAGAAATTATTATTGTAGAATAATGAAAATTGCGTGTACGTGATGCAACGTTTGTACTTGCGAAGCAGAAGGGGAAACGAGTAGAAAATTATCGATTTTTTCAGATATACCTATCATTGCATTAAAAAAATAAGAATTCGAATTAAACAGGATTTGCATGTTCACTAATAATTTTTCATATACTTTTTCCAGCAATGCAATTAGATAAATGTTAATATTTCTGAATGGCAAACGCAGAATCTAAGACGAGCATAATTATTTTATAAAACACACAAAAATCACGAGATTAATTGAAAAAGGCGGCCTCCGTGTTACTTAATGAAAAGAAATTTGCGAGACGGTGCAACTTTAACGCCGGTTTCCCCGTGACAATTTCCAGTTTCGATCCTATCGCGTCCCCATGGGTGTTTCTCGGCCAACACCATCATGCGCATAGTACCCTAAGACCTAGTCTGCGCCATCGCCTGGCTGGAGAACGCGATGCGCAGCCGGCGCACAGACGGTTCTGTCAAAACCCCCACCTTCATCGAGACCCACCAAGTACCATTGCCGCCACCACCTCGACCTAACAACCCACCACCAGCCCTACCACCACCTCCTCCAGCTCTCTCCTCCAGCATCGTCGACCGACCACCACCATCGAACCACCACCATGGAAACCGACCAGTGCGCATTTTGACTTCAGTCTGACGGAAGGTCCCAACCTGCCTGGATCGAGACACAGGCAGGTGTCGAATCTATTTGTACCGGTCGTTGTTGCCAGCCGCGTTCACGTCGCATCCTCCGGTTTCGTCGTGGATCCTCCGAGGTCGAGAGGTCAAAGCGCGGTGCCGTATAGCGAGGACAGAGAGCAAGAGTGTCGTCGAGGGGGTTGCGTTCGCAGGACCGAGCCGGGATTTATGGAACCACCCCATGGATAGTAACATGTCAACTGCCGCCTTCATGCACCGGTATGGGAAAAAAGGCGTTAGATCGATACGCACGAGTCACACACACACACACACACGCGCATACAGACACCGTGAAACGCCCGCGCTTCTCCCAGTCGTGTCGATTGGGGTTTCTCGTAGTCTCTCATTCGAAAAGCCGCCTTCGTGCCCGATCGATGAGTTCGTTGCTATGTCGCGTGGAGCGGCCTTCGTTTCGTACAATCGTCAAAATAATATCGGGGCATATACATGTGGGTATGTTGAAAAATCGCGCACGAATAAATCGACAGAAATAAATCAACTCGATATATCTCGATATTATGAATATTATACGATGGAGACGATAATTTTGCGATATAATCTTGTGCATGCAGCATGCACCTGATTACGAGAGAAATTTTGCATTTAACACGACCGTGTGGAACTTAATTGGGCTTCTTATCAGGAACATGGGAAATCGCTGTTTCGTTCGGAATAATCGATAGGAGATTATGAAAAGAATGATGCGCTTATGAAAGAACTCGCATAACAATGAGATTGGTTGCCTCATTAGAATTGCACGATTGGCATTCAAAACCATCCGGATTGTTCCATAATTGTTCTGCCCTCGATTGATGCCATCGGTAGATATAGGGAAAGAAAAGAGGAGAAAAAATAGAACGTAAAGTCTCTTTTCTTTTCGACAAAATTTCATGTCATCAATCATCACATTTTTGCCGAACACCTGTATTTATAGAATGTCCATTTTTATCCGCGATAAATTGGATAATGGATTAAATTGCACGCGAATACACGCAACGGAAATGTCTAGAGCGAACTTTATACGTGTCAGACGTGCGTAATGTGGCTCGATGGAGGCGCGACATAGTTCTCTATTCGATCGTCGATGCGTGCAAGGAAGATTCTCGAGAATCCAGTCGCGGTAATCGTATGCAGTTGCACGGCAGCAACTGGCGGAGGCAGCTACTTAGACGGCATTCCATTAACCTGCATTTTCACGGAGGCAGAGGCGCGTCACCTGTTCGGTTTCCCCGGGAGCACGCACGACACGATGTCGAATCGGACCAGCCCGGTTTCCTTGAACCTGCGGATACCGCAGCCATTGACCGCGCGCGGCCGTCTCTCGCCTCGTCTCCGTGACGAAAGGCCCTAAGTGCGCTCTCTCTCTTTCTCTTTCTGTCTCTCTTTTTCCTCATCTCCCTCCTTCATTCTCCACCTCGTTTCCCATCTCCACCTTCGTGCGATCTCTTTCTCATCTCGTCGGATAGCATGCGGACAGATCCGCTTCTTTGACGATCTTGCGCTAAAACGCTAATTACATATCCCTCGAAACAAGATAGGCTCAGGTTTTTCCTCAACCTTTTCTTTGACCAAAGAAGATTAAGTAAGGAATTTGGAAAATGTGCAGACACGTTCGAAGAATATTTCTTAAAATTACACGATGTAATTATTAATTATAAAAAATTGCTCATCTCCTCCGCGAGATCTGTTCTGCTTTGATGGCTGCGATTCTAAGAATCGTATATCTCATCGCGCAGGGGAAAACGCGAGCTCGCATACATGACGAGAGTTACGCGAAACGAGCATCGGAGGAGAAAGAGAGGAAGGTGCAATATCCCCGCGGGAGATATATTTTATCAACGCTGGCGGTGCATAAATCCCTTTTCTCTTACCGGACCTCACTAGCTCTCCGCATTAATTCCGGCCGCGTAACCCTCCTGCCATCTTTCCAGCCCTCTCTCCAGCAGACTCAATGAAAACAATTCCCTGACTTTTTCCAAGACCAGAAAATCATTTCTTCCCTGACTGTTTAGTATGATTTTTTTCCAAATATATATATAATTTGCATATATCTATTAATGATAAATCAATTAAATGTTAAGTCATGAAATCCTTGAGATATTTTTGTCAACAATGTCAAATGAAAGGAATTTAACATAAAAATTCAAATCAATTCCATCTGCATTATGTACGATAATCGAAACAAACATGTCGCTGTAAACTATTTAAATAATCACCTTTTTTATTCATATTACATCAATTTTTTTAGTTTCGTTTCTATATCAAACAAATTGAAATCAAATAACACGACGATGAAAATATAAATGAACGGACACGCTGTAGATGAATCAATTTTTAACAACACAGAAAACGAGCGTGCTGGGAGTGAAGGAAAAGTTTCGATTTATTTAATGAAAAATTTCAAATAATCGAGACAAATGTAGAATGTGAAAAAATCCAGATAAACAGTAAAATTTCCTGACTTTTCCAGATTTCTAAAATTCCCGGACAATGTCCAGATTTCCCTGACCGCTAGACACCCTGTCTCTGATGCGCGTCCAAGTGCATCCCCCTGTATATTCGAATCTCGAGGAGGCCGAGCGAGCGACCGAACTCACACAAAAGCGAACGGCAATCGATACATCTCTCTTTCTCTCGGCTAGGCACGTACATCCTGCGGCTATCGGATGACACGATGTCGATGGACGAGGAAAGGATTCTATATGTCGAGTTATACGAGATTGCCATACACACGCAATGAACGGTCGCGATTGCGATCGCGCGATTCGCGAATCCTCGGCGAACGGACGATCGCGCGATGAAAAAGAAAATAAAAAGATGGGACACGTTCGCGAGCGAAATTGCGAAAGCGATTTGCGACCATGTAAATTACAATGCCGCTTCGGAGAACAGCCGCTCGTACAGCGTATATATATTTCAATGGATATTATTAAACGTCCATGAAGTATTCAAATATCTCGGTAATAAACAAATCAAATTTATAACAGAGATACGAATAAGCACGGGGTTTTTAATACGTTTATAAAACATTTATATGTCTATAAAAACTGGAAAAAGCGCCATTATCCATTTACGACGAAAAAAAAAAACTCGGGCAAAAAATAAAAATAAAGCGATGGGTGAAAAAAAGATTAGGTACACGAATAAAAATTTTGCCATTTCAGAGGAAAATGTGTATAAAGATTTTATCAAACTTTTTTTTACCAAGTAATTACAATTCTATTAGCAGTTCTAACGGTGTAAACACAATTAAAGTAAATTAAAAACTTTATTAGCGAGCACCGAGACGAGCTTTCTTCTCGTTTATATTATTTCGTGCCATTTTTCGTGCCAAGCGTCGTCTTCGTCGTCTCAATTATGCAACGTTCGTTCTGCCAGAGCGAGTACCGCAGTCCGCAGTGACTCAAACTGGAGCAGCGCTCCTGTGCGGAAAAGCACGTATATAGAAAAAGAAGATTTTCTCTCCGATCCGACAACCGGTCGTGTATACTCTCTAGCTCGGCTAGAGAGATAAACGCGCGTGTGACACTTCGCCATGCGAGAAAGAATAAGGTCGTCAGACAGTCGTGCTCGCGTTAGGTTCGCGCGCTAAAAGCGCATTCGCGCGCGATGTTGATCGCGATAGGTGCTCGACTCATCTCGCATTGTTGATCGTTCGTTACATTTACACCTGGGTATTCCGTGACGGAACGGGGCAGATAACAGAGAACTCGATGCGGAGTGAAACTCGCGCGGGCAATAAGGTTTCCTAATAGAGTTACATATACGCGTCCATGTCTCCATGTGTCGCGAGAAAACGAGGAGAGCTCTCCCTTCCTCAAGCGTGTTTACTAGCGCGCCAAAACTCGTTTCACTCGGTCGTCGAACGATATCGATTATACCGGCGTCGACGACTCCGGGCGTTTACCCGGAAGAATCGACGGCCGGAAGTTCGTTCGCGAACTTCGCCCCTGAATCCGATAATCATGCGATATCACCGCGCGGCACCCTCATTGCCTTCTTCTCTCGTAATGACTTCCGGTAATCGTATACCTGTATATATTGAGAACTTACGTAATCGACATTTTTATCTAACGATAAGAAACGATGTATTTTATATCATCGAGAATTTTATTAGGAACAAATAATTTTTTTTTAATTTAAAAATTGAATATGAGCTGAACGAGATTTATATTTCGAAAAAATTCGACAAATGTACTCTTCTTCTGCGCAAACTTTATCGTCATCGGGCAAATTCTAAAAGGATTAATACCAGGACGATAACCCGCGGCAGGATCATGCTAGGCGTGTTTCACCGTTTGCATCCTTGTTGCTCTTAGAACACAATACTCGTTGCATTCACCGTGTTGTAGAACGCGGAAGATCGATGGTATACGAAAGGGATCCATAAACACCGAAGAAAGAGAAAGAGAGCGCGCGATCTCCTGGCATGCATGAAAGACGCATCTCAAAGTCTCTCCGGCAATAGTTTTGTAGAAACATCCGACTTGCAGCTAAAACGATTTCCTGTCGAACAACGCGATCGCGTAAAACTTCCCGTATACATAAATTCTCGTAAAGATAAATATACAGCCGGCGTTTATCCCATCAAATGAGGCTACTTACATTTGTCGTCGACGATTTTTTAACATCCGGAAGATCAATGGCGAAATTAGATGTACCGCAAAATGTACTTATTAATTCTGCATCGCGAGATGATTCACAGGAAGTCAGCGATTAGACTTCCTCTCTGCGAGCGGAAGATTTCTCGGAAAATCTCGGAATTTTGTGAGAATTAAAATGCAGAATCTGTATATATTAATTTTTTCAATATCTAACAATTTTGTTTCTATCATTTCTGGTCATTTAGCACGTCTATAAAAACGTATAAATTATATATGTTCAGTCATTCGAAACATCTTCAATCGATATATACGCTTCGTATTTTCATCATGCTCGACTCAATCGATGCAATCTCTCGGCCCGAGTAAAGTAGGTCTAGTCACACATACGATGCACGTTCTGTGCATCTAGCTGTATAGATTCAGCTGCAATACTCTAAGCCGAGGCTACTTCTAGTGTTATCGGTTGCGGAGGTTCGCTCGACGCGAACCCGGAAGATCGAGCGATCGCGGAGAGGAAGTCGTTCGCGTTCAAGAGAGGTAAAACGCTCAATCACTTTGGGGCCTCGATTTTGCAACGGCGATCCAGCATCGCAATTTCTTCTCGACCGACTTCGA